TCAGCAGGATCCTGACAGCTGATTGCATGAGTTGTCCCGTGCTCACAGATTATTTAACAAAAAGGTTTACTTTATTAGCGATATACTAGTATATTCTGGCAATAACCTGTCTCTTTCCCATGAAAACAAGAAGTGAATTTAACTCTTGGATGCGCATCTCTTGCTTTGAAGCTGCTTTAAGTAATATGCCAACATTCCAAAAATGAAATTATAGAATGAGATATTTTATTTACAGGTAGTCCCAGGCAAAATCCGTTACTTTAAGTAGTAGTTAATCACTTGGAGTCTATTTGCCTTCTACAAGCCTGACTTGACTGCAAAGGTCAGATGAGTTAAATGCCTTTTGTTTGAGTTTACCCGGTAACTACCATATCACAAGTCTCTTCAGAGGAGCTGCACAGTAGCTTGTCTTTTTGAGAGCAGAAAGAGACAAGTCACTATTTTTCCCCAATAAAAAGGCTTGCAATATAATAGATGAAAGGTTATACGGAAGGCAACAAGGACAGGGCAGACCAAACAGTATTAATACAAAATGATGTAAACTCCAACAAAAGACACTTCACAGTTGTGAAGCATTCCCACTGTAAACCTTGGAAAAGGCAGTAAAACCAAGAATTAATGCTCCCCAATAACCAGTGCCATACGTGTGTCCTTGGTATTTTATGTGCTTTCAGACGAATTCTTATGACCACATGAGGGTACTCTGAAAACCTGCTGCACCTCCAGGGAAGTCTGATTAGTACATCACCCCGCTGCAACACCCAGCGACTTTAGAAGTCCTTTGCATTCAACTCCTTGGAATTGCAAAGCGTGGGTCTTGCTTAAAGCTCGAAGAAAATTCACTGAGAAGTCGCTACTCACAAAAAGAAGAAACATGTTGCACCAGCAGTGCCGCTGTAAGCCACGTTAGGCTGCCATTTACCCCCAACCCCACTCCCAAACTTTTGTTTTGATGCAGAAGCAAAAGTTGCTCGAGCAGCTATTCCTCCACAGCGCTGTTTGAAAAACAAACGACAGAAGCATTTCTTACCAGCCCCAAAGGGAAAATAACAATTTAATGCCTTGAAATGAGAAGCTGGATAACGTAGAAATACTGCAATTCCTCAAACTTCCTAAAAGTAGCAATTCTCAGGCAGCAAAGGAGAGCAGAGCGTTCAAAGAACCGATTGCCTTCAAATGATAATTTTTATATCTGACACAACACAGAGATTTCAGCTGCGGTACAGATACCTCTAGGCAGCCGTTTGGGTTAAAACGACTTTATTCAAACATTTCATATTCTTTATTTCAAACAATTCAAATATGTGATTCAGAGCTAAATCACGCCTTCTTGTTTCAGAAAGCAAAAGGCAGTTTAACTTCTTGCACCTTCTTCTGAAATAAGTCTCTAAAACGAAGCTGGGGTGAACAACATTTTTGAACTATTTTTTGAATATTAAAGTTTCATAAACACGGCGCTGTTTTTGGGGAAAAAAACCCCGACATTTTTGCTTCAGCTTTCTGTATAAAGCAATTTTAATTACATTTTGATCAGCTTTACTTTTAAACACTTTCTAAAAAAAACATTTTTCTCATTCTGAAACAGCTCTGAATTCTGTAATTTGTGCCATGTGTTGCACAACCCAAAGTACAAAGCTAAATGTCATAATTAACTATTATTTTTTCCACTCAAACAACAGATTTTTGGGTTCTCTTCACGACGAAGCACATTTTCCACAGAAATGACTCCTGCCAAACGTAACGTACAGCCAAACACCTAAATCCACCAGTTCTTCAGGAAACTGGACCACGCAGCCTTTGCGCGGCTCTGCTGATTTTCAGTGTCCCAGCACTCTCACGCCCAGGAGCAAAATTCTTTTTGAAACACGTATGTCACACTTCTGCTTTCTTTGTCAAGCCGCTTCCTTGCGGTTCTGGATCGACACTTTTAGTTTTGTGTCTCCTGGGCTTGAACATGATGCCAGAACTACTCCTGAGAACGAACCCCGAGATCCCATTCTCCTACGCGAAGTCCCCAATGAGTTCTCCATCTTAAGTCCCAAACGACCCAAATTTACAGCCCCCCTCTTAACCGCACCAAGAGTTTATCACGTTCCTCTCGGGTGAGGAGATCCTTGGGTCCTTGTAAGCAAACGCTGCGCTCAGACACACGAGCCGTGGGTGTCTGCGCGCCCCACAGACCAGCACCTGGCAGGCAGGAGGAGAGTTCCTCAGTAGATACGCCCGTGAAGCCAGATTTCTCGGCGCTGCGTTTCTTATCCCCTTTCCTTACGGACAATCAGGTTCCCAGGGAACGGGAGCTGAAGCTCCGTGTCACTGCCTGGTGTGACATCTCCTCCTGGGATGCCACGGCTGCTCACACGCGTCTCCGAGTCCTTCGCTGTGCTTCTGCGTGACGGTTGGAGCGCCCGCATCTTCCGTCCAGGGAACACTGCACTTAGTCCTACTTAAAGGTCCCTAATTCCACTGTCAAGCTTGAAAAATGCTTTACATTTGGGTCACTTTAGCAATTTTCTTCGACGTTCAAAGATGCATGGTTTACAAAGTCAGGGTACTTTTTACTCATCCCATTTTGTTCACATCTTCCCCCAACCACTTTTCAGTATAAATTACAATATGATAGCAGCCTAGCTTGTCATGCTCTTAGAGCACTAATTTAGAGCTGAAGCTAAACTATATCACTATCTAATATGTGTAACAGCTTCCATCTGTTCAGCGCAGTAATCAGAAACCAAGCATCCTAAACCCATTTTCCTGGAGGATACCTTTGCTGTGTTGATCAGAGATTCTCTTGCATCCTTGCTCAAGCTATTTAAAACAGACCCTTTAGGGAAAGCACTGCTTTAAATTTCTATTTTTTTTTTTCTTTCTAAAGAACAAAATTTGAGGCCTAAAATAAATATTTAAAACCTTCCCAGCTGTCAGTAAAGGCACGCGAGCTTTCTAGGGAGCCTTGAAGAAGCAGCTATGTTTGGATTTCTAATCACTTTTAAAAAAAGACACTAATTAAAGTGAATATCCACCGGGAGTCGACGCCGTTCTCCGGGATACTGTTTGTCTTCGCGTTGCCGATGCCAACCAGGCTTCCAGTGAAAGCGAGAGACACCACATTGGCCGCAGCAGCAGAGAGGGAACCGCAGTTACCAGCCCATGCTCCAGCCCTCCCCCGGTCGCACAGCTCCAGTCACAACTACATTCCTCCCCAGGGTTTATCGGAGCGTTTGTATCGAGTTTGCAGCACGGTGCATTCCCAGCGCCAGGCTGCTGCAGCTTCGCGAGGACAAGTCGTCGCTGCCGCAAAGGCAAACGCACGTCAACACCACGCAGGAACAAAGCGGCTTTGCTCGAGTTTATTCGCACGCGCCCGCTTCCGCCGGGTGGCTCCTGCGATTAACACCTCTGCCTGCACGCGCGTATTCGGGCACAGAATTTCAGAGGAACGCAGCGCGGGCTGAACGCAACCCAAAACAAATGCGCTCAAATGTGATTGTTCTTCTTTTTTTTCCGCGCATTCGGAATTTCTCTTTCGCTCCCCCCCGTGAAAAGTCAGCTGCTTACATCCCAACAACACCCCTTCCCAAACTGCTGCCTAGCCAAAGCGTAATTAGCAAGATATCATCATGCACCGTGGCACGGTGCGATGCGTTGGCACAGTTACTCCGCACCTAGAAGCATCACCTCTTCTCTAAAACCTTGATGAGAAAGAAACCCCAGGTTTCGGTTCTCCCACTTCGCGTGCCACGCACCGCAGTCACTCCTGGTCTGCTGGAAAATTGCATTTGGACACAGGGAAAGGCAGAAATTCTTCCATTTGCAAGGGTTGATTTTGAGATCATAAAGAAATCCGGCCAGTCAAGAGAAAGGTAACATCAAGTACTATGATGCATTTAAACTGATTATTTATTTATCCTTTCATCCAGTTTGCCTTTGATCCTTTTTAAGTGACTTATTTTGTTTTAAAAGTCATAGTTATTTTCATCAGTTTTCTTTTATTTTCTATTCATCTCCTTTCTACTATGCACTTGCTTCTCGTGGATTGTCTGTAGGTTTGCCGTGACTCCCATCTGTCAGATTCTTTGTTCCATTTGATTTGCACTGTGTTTAATTTTTTTTAGGTAGACTTTTTCATTACTCTCCTTTTATTCCTTTACTACTTCAAATATTCCAGTCATTTTATCTAACCCTTCCATTTCCGCGTTTTTCTTCCCTTTTGTGCCAGCATCTGCACTGATTTATACAGCCCACAGTTTCCAGGTACCTGCACCCCGCCATCTTTCACTAATTACTCCGCTTCGTTGCCAACCTGCATGTCTAACATCTGCAAATAAAGGCTGGGAAACAGGAATTGACCAATTTGAATATTTGCTTAGTGAATTGTTAGGATTGTTGGCACCGGCTTCATTGTTTCTTTGATTGATTACACTTCTCACTTATGAAGTTACTTCACCGTATTATTGCAAATGGCCATGATGCTCGGCAGCTAAAGGCTGGCACAGAATTATTTTAACCAAGGTTTCTGACTCCTTGAGCCTGGTGACGACAGACAAACACAACCCACGGCCCAGGAAAACATCTGTAGGTGGGTGTTCAGACCATCTCACCCTAACCTCAGCCTGGGCGACAACCGCAGGGACACCCCTCAGCTAGAAGGCTTTAGGAGACAACAGCTTTTAAAAGAGATGCAGTTACCATCGAGATCGTTCTCGGGCGTTTCCGCTGTGTACCAGTCCGAGGCGGGCCCTGTCCCATTCACTGTCATGGCAGCCACCTGGAAACTGTACTGGCTTCCTTTCTCAAGCCCTGTAAAACAACAACAACAAAAAAAGCAAATCAAAATCATGCAGAAAGAAGAAGATGTAGAAAACAAATTAATGACAATATCAGAGTTCACAATAGATTTCGCGCAAAACGAAATCTCTAGAAATTGTCCATTGGCTTTGCCATAGGTAAGGAAATATACAGAGATGCTTATATATATATAAATATACGATATATATAAAAAAAATAGATATGCAAGTATATAGAAAGGGCTTCTCCCAGCACACCGCAGCCCCACACAGCGTCTCACTGCCCCATAGGGCACAGGTACGTGGGGACGTCGTACGGGCAGCCCCCTCTGAGCAATGCCTGGGCAGAACGGCTCTGGTGGGGGGAGGTCGTTATTCACGTGGGAAAAGGGATTTTTGACCAAAAGGAAAGGCTTCAAAAATGGAATGAGGGCTGCACCAGCCCAGGACCAGTTTGAGTTGTAATTCCCATCAGTTGCGCTCGTACAGGGAAAATTAATGGAAGTCAATTAGTAGGAAAATGAAGAATTGTTTTACATAACTAAGCCATTAATTGCACACTTATTAAAACCAGCTCACTGCCTTCAACATGCAGGGAACTGCAGGTGCACTCTCCTTATACATAAAACTTTGCAGGCTGGTAACCAGGTTAGCAGCTGAAGAGCATTTTGCTTTCCAGTGCTCCTGATTAACTTCAGAGCACACAGTTCAGGCAAAAAAAAATTAAAGTCTTACCAATTTTACGAAATAAGCACGAATTCAGAAACAGGCGCTCTCCTCTGTGGCTAAAGCCATCAGAAAACAATTACTGCACCGCTCCTGAACGTGCCACAAGACTTCCAAGTCCCTGAGGTGGGGATAGAGGTTTATCTTTTTGCTCAGTCTATACTGACCACAAAGCACAGGGAAAAAAAAAAATGTTTCATTTAATTGCGAACCTTCTCTGGAGAAGAACGCTCATAATTAAAAAGAGCAGTTTAACATTTAGCTGACATGGAAAGCCTGCTCTAAAATTGATAGTGGCTATTTAAAGACCTGCATTGTAACTCTAAACTCCTTTGCAATTGCAGATGTTCTTATTACCCCGCAAAGCACCTGCCTACCGAATAGGATTGCAGCAAAAACCTGAAGTGCCAAGATGTTAATATTTAAAATGTCCATTTAGAAGAGGCACACAGCTCCGTCTCCAGCAATCACGACATATCCACGCTGAAAGTAATAAAGAGATCTGGATATTTTTCTTAATTGGGTTCTAAAACACGTATTCCCAAGCTCTGTAAAAACAAAGCGCTTCACCTCGGGCTGCGCGGAGGCGCTGGCAGCCAGGGTGGGCAGGAGGGCTGGGGCTGCCTGCCTGCAGCCCACCGGCTCTCCCGCAGCTCTTCTTCGAGCCCGGAATAATTCATGTGAAAGAAAGGAGTTTGCTCTGGACGTGGGGATCTACCGCAACGGAGATGAATCTGCTCCGCTCCCACGCAGCAGCCGGCGGCTTTCACCTGCCGCAGCCTTTCCCCCTCGGCCCGGGTGCGATCCGCAGGGATGGGATCTGTGGGGATGGTGGTGGTGGAGCTACGGAGGTAGGCGCCTTCCCCCCGGGACTCGGACCGCGGCGCTGTGTTTTCTTCTCTAAGCCACCAGACAGCAGCACACACCTGACCACCTTGCATCGTCATTTCTACTTCATCCGCCAGAAAAAAGATCCTCTCCCACTTGTCGAACACGCTTAGCATGCTGTCTGCCCCCAGAAAGTACTTGTACGTTGTGCAGCCGTCAGTTACGTAGCTGTCACAAGAGGTCCCGAGGGGGCTTTGGTCAAGAGCCTAGGTTGGATGGCCAAGTTGAGATTTCAGCATTTAAAGCCTTCCTCATAAACATCTTCTACTTTTGCTTGTATTTAATTTTGAAATAAAATACTGCTTTTCCTTCCAAAGCAGAAAATGTTATTGTTTATTCTGAAGTACGCAATTCAGAATTAGTTCCGATTCTCACAGATTACACATCACATTTGAACGTAAACACAACGCAGGTCGTTTGAGGTGAAATCAGGTGAAATACGGAATTCAGGGACAAACCTTTGACAATGTTTAATTTTCTCCCTTGATGCTTTGCTGCCTTCTCAGTTATGCCTTGGGCACAATGCAAGAACCCAGGTGAATTTCATTTTCACCCACCAGAATTCACTGCTGCCCTTACCATACTCATCCAGCTATTTTCATCCATTGCAATTCTAGTTTTGCTATGATCTACTGTTGCACTTTCTATTCTGTGAGGAGATATTTTCCATTGAAAACCTCGGAAAAGAAACTAGGGAAATCAATATTTTTGCACCCACGAGAAAAGAGGAGATGTTGACTCTTAAAAACCATTCGAGGCTTAAGATACTGGACACCAGAAAGGCGGCTTCAAATTCATTAATGATAAAATCCAAGAGACCAACTTATGATGAAAGCATTAAGCAAAAAACTGGTTTTAAAAAAAAAAAAACAACACATCACAAAGACTGTCTTTGTACATACAACACAATAAACGCTACCTGCCAGCAAAGAAATCAATGTTCCCTTGAAGTGAAAGTATATTTTATTCCCAAAGCATTTAATTCATCAAAACCTTGCAAGGCTGTACCATGTGAAGACTGACCTGTGAACAAGTACCAGAGGTTGTTTGGCTCCAGTGTTTCGATCTCACCCCTGCGGGTAGTCTTTCTATGTCGGATTTTATAGCCCGTAATAAATCCATTTTGAGTGCCTGGTGGTGGAGGCAACCAGCTAACTTTGATGCTCTGTAAAAGAACAGATATTATTGTTGAATTTCGTATTTTTTTTTTCAAAAAACATGGCAGAAATAAAGCACATAAAATGAATGAATAAAATAAAAAGGAAAAAGAAAAGCTATGTTTTTCTAATAACAACATCTATTCAACTAAGTTATTCTTTTGAGAGGAAAACCAAATCAAGTCTGAAACAATTCACATTGGCACAAAGAAAACTGTACATTCTCCAGTAGTCGACGGCTATACAAACAACGGATTTAGAGAGTAAATTTTCTCCCTTTCCAGGAATTTTTCATTTCAACAGGCCACTAGAACACCCAGGGTACCGGAAACATCAGCTCCGGGGTTGAGTTGACACTGCAACTCATTTCGCTTTTCAGCCCAAAGTTGCCTCTTTGTGACTGCAGAATACATCAACCTGAGCGGCTCCAACAATCCCCTGCCGTTTTAATTCCGCAGATGTTCACGGAGACATTACTACACCCTTGTTACATCACCGTGAAGAGCGCCAAACCTCTTGAGAGTAAACTGATCGCCGACCCTGGCACGTAAGAGAATTTTCACCGAGCCATTCGCCAGAGCCAGCAGCAATGACATTAACCAAGACCAATCACTTATTTTTTTTTTCCCTAAATGTTGCTTGCTAGATTGTATGAGGGACCTTACCTCAGCCCAACAGCCCAAACTGAAACTGTCCCTTCCTGATGGCTCCCGACACATCCCTACATGGCCAGACGCCCATCTCCGCCACCTCTCTCCTCGGAGAAAGGTCTGAAGGCATTTTGTCACGGCGATACAAAGCCAGTCCATGAACTTGGTCATTCCCGTCACCGTCTCTTGTACCTTTTCCTCCTCCCCGTGCTTGGTGGAGGGGGCACGGCAGGCTTCTGCAGCGATCGTTTTCTTCCCGACGCTGTTCATTCAACGCCAACACTCAGCAGCGCTTTTACCGCCGCCGACCGCTGCGCTCCCAGACTCCGAACAGCAAGGCCTCCTTCCCGAGCAGCGTGCACGCATGTTTTCCCTGCACCACTTCATATTTAACCACACGGAGTTTCATTTACTCCTGTCTCCCAGTCGCTCAGCGTTGTAAGGATGTTTAGCAACCACCTTTCACTTTTGCTAACCCTCGTGCCCTGTTCACCAGCCAGCGTGAGGCCCAGCACGCATCGCTGGGTGACGCCACCGCCGGCGCCCCTCAGCCGAGACAAGACAACACCTCTCTCCGTCCTTTGTTCTCTATCGCATCGGTTGCTTATCACAAAGGGATTTCTTTCCCTTACACTTCAGCAACTGCATTTCTTCAGGAGCCTTTTGTGAGGGATCTTATCAAAAGAGCTCTAGGAAACCCACGCCAACGGTATCAACGGGATCTCCTCGCCCATGTGCTCAACGATGCCTTCAAAGGACTTTAATAGGCATGTGAAGCAGGACTTGCCCCCACAAAAGCTGTATTGATCTTTCCTCATCATATCATGTTCATCCATATGTCTATTCATTCTATTCTTTATTACGGTTTCTATCAATTCATCCAGGAAAAAAAACCCACCAGATTTACTGGGCTGGACTGATAAGAGAGCTGATATTGTACATCACCATTTCCCTGCTAAAACAATCTTGGCAGCAGTTGTTCCCTGCAAGTCTCCAATCCTTCAAGCGTTTTCACTCAGCACAATATACGGTATTCAGGGTGATCAGGGTTTCTCATCAAGCAAGGCCTCACAACTGCACAGTTGTGCCTACACTACCTCTTACAGCACTGTGCTACAAATTTTTAGACAAAGAGAAAAGTTAACGACATCATGGTGGGTAGTTTTTGACCAAATACAATTTATTACCATTATTGAGTTGCTTAGTCCCTGCATAAACATGTTATAGCACATATCAAATTAATTATTCCAATAGAAAAATCAATTCTGCACATATACTGCCCAGTGATTTATTGTTACAATCAATTATACATTTCAAAATCAATACTTCAGGTTTTCATTGCTGAGTGAAATAACGCTGAGGTTTTTGCATTAGGGCAGAACAAACTCCATTTTTCAAACCAGAGAGCGATTGTTTTAAAAACAGATTTTGTCACTTTGCATATTGAAATTGCCTACATATAAAATGTTTTGTGGGAGAACGCAAACACCCGGAGAGGGGCTTTAAAACATATTTCTGTTGACAGCTTCGAGGATGTCTACAGGCAACTCATTGTTTGATACTGGTGCGCTCCCAATTCTTATGATCTCTACACAACATTGAGCCACGTTGTTGTCGTGGGGACCTCAGCATCCCTGTATATTCCAGCCCAGCTATGAGGAAAAGACATTTGCACTGCCCCACTTCACAGGCAGAGGTGAAAGCAGAGCATTCAGAAATTTTCCCAGAGGAGGGGAAGAAAGAGCCAACTCCATCTTTCCCCTGCCCCTTCCAAGAGCATCAAGAAAAGCTCTTCTGAAAGAAGAAAAAAAAAAATACGGAGAAGAAACAACAGAGAAGTGGAGGAATGCTTTCAGGGACCTGTTGTGCAGCTCATGCAGGTGGACGCTGGCAGGAATGATGTGTGGATTGACAAATGCCACCAGAAGGGACAAACCACAGTGGTCTCTCAGTGTGGAAAGTGCAGTAACACCAACTTCTACCCGAAGGTGCCGCTTACAGAAAATTTAGAATCAAATCGGCTGATAGAAAATACAAACTTGAATTTTGACAGAAATCCCATAATATTGAAGACCTCCCGATGACCCAGACTTTTGAGTGGATCTTTGGGTGGTCCACCATCCTTTCTGAACCACAGGCTCCATTTTGTCAATTTATTTCAAACAAAAAAAAAGATTCCTGAGCTGCGTGTGAGCTCAAGCAGCAAAGGAGGCCCCAAGACAATCCGTCGCCCTCTAGGAGAGGCAGCCACAGCGTTGGCTATGCTCGTTCAGAGGAAAGGTTCTCCAGGCCAGCGTCCACCCATCAAAGAAAAGAGTTTCTTGCAAATGGAACAACACTCAAGCAACGGATCTGCCATTGGGATGGTTTAGCCCCTCGATGGGGCCAGTCAGCAACCACTTAACAGACCTGTAGATGGTATAACCATTTTGGAACTGGAGCAGGAGTGGCTCCAGTCTCTCTCAAGCCATATTGTCATAGGGTTGCATGAGCCTGGGGTGTTCTGTGTGGGACCCTGACCAGGCAGCACTGGTCCTACATTTCTGAGTAGAGAAACCTCATTTTGCTTTTCAGCCCAAAGTTCCCTCTTTGTGACTGCAGAATACATCAACCTGAGCGGTCCCAACAATCCCCTGCCGTTTTAATTCCGCAGATGTTCACAGAGACATTACTACACCCTTGTTACATCACCGTGAAGAGCGCCAAACCTCTTGAGAACAAACTGATCGCCGACCCTGGCATGTAAGAGAATTTTCGCCGAGCCATTCGCCAGAGCCAGCAGCAATGACATTAACCAAGACCAATCACTTACTTTTTCTGTCCTAAATGTTGTTTGCTAGATTGTATGAGGGACCTTACCGAAGGAAGGGTACACTGGCATAAGGGTCACAGTGTCCAGGCATGTTCTCCAAGCATGCAGAGGAGAAAGCCTGTTGCACACAAACATATTACAACATGTGTAAAATCACTTGTGAGATATCAGGAACAACTGCAGCCTGAACTTGTGAGATACAAGGAACTATTGCAGGACTATTTCTAGCCTGAACTCGACACTAGTTTGATTTTAAAAAAAGATAAACAAGAATTTCAGCAGAAGCATCCAAGCACTTGGAGCTGCGACACCTGCAAGCTCTGAGCAGTTTTTATGAGACCCCAAATATCCCTTCCTCTGCCTTGAAGTCAACAGTGACTGCATGTCCCTGCACAGCAGGTCTCACAGAAGCAATGGGTTTGATCTAACGCTCAAGGCAGAATAAATAAGATCTTCCTTATGATTAGAGGAAAAAGCAGGTTCTTTACAGATCCACCTAAAGCTGTCACTGTAACGGTAACAGTTCACTTTCACCTCAACCTAGTCTCCATGGACACCGCAACGATGCTTTTTATCAATAGTACTTAACATGTGACCCTTTGCTCCAGGAAAATCAATGATGAAGGTTCTGACAGGCTTCTCGTCCTTTCTCCTGCTCAAGAGAGAGCAGTAATGACTAGCGCTCTAATCCTTCACGCTTTATCCAGGAGGTAACCAACAGAAAGAAAATATTTCCTTTCTGTTATACCCGGATTCCTGAGGAAACGGCAAAATGAAGCCAGCTTCAAGAGGACTTTAGGAACCTGTCAGTCCTGGTTGGAACACAACGTGGAAAAGGACTGTAAAAGGTTGCTGGCCACCTCCGTTTGCTGAAACGACCCTCCTTCAGCGGGAGCGTGGTCCCTTCCTCGTAGCATTAGGAAATCACCCTGAGCAGCTCGGGGTGAGCTCGGCCAGCCGGCACTGCCCTCGCTCGGAGCTGCGGATGCCCTGGCCTTTGCAAAATGGCCCTGTACAGATCGCAAACTGCACGGGGTGAACCCTCCTAGTTCAACTGTATTTGATAAAACTTTTCAGGGAGAACAGATGTAGCCCCAACAGACCAAACCAAACCTGAGTTGAACCTTTTAACTTCTTTCCTGTAGTTTCCAAAGCCATATTTTTGTTTTCCTCTTTTCATGATTACTTAGTAGAAAAAGAAAAAACTGAGATATTGCCTGATTGGAAATGTGGAGCATCAGAAATCTCATGAATCTTATCAAAGCAAAGTTCCTGGATGTGCAAAGACCATTTGTCAGTTTATTTTAGTCAATAACCCTCTGGACATTAATAGTCATTAACAGACATTTGCAAACTTTCATCCAGTTACGGCAGCAGAGGACTACCAATTCTGTCTGTTGCACTTCGTCTCTGCACATACGCTTTTCTTCTGCTTTTTTTTTTTTTTTTTTAACTAAGTCCATCCTGTAGACTTTTTTTCCCCAATGGAACTTCAGTTATCTACCATCAAACCAGCTCGATACACCAATCAAGCATTTGACACAAC